AGAATAACTTTGAATCTATGATTTTATTATATTATAAAAAATATAATGTCATTAATATATATATATAAATATCAATTACTTAAATTAACTAATTTTTAAAATTACCAATTTTTCTTGATCTTCAGTTAATGGTGAATAAAAGTACTAGTAATAATAATGTTTTGTAAATTTTTTTAAAACGAATAAACGAATATTTATGATCATGAAAAATAAATAAATAAATACTATTGAATCGATGCGGTTGTTGTTGTTGTTGTTGTTGTTGTTGTTGTTGTTGTTGTTGTTGTTGTTGTTGTTGTTGGTATTGCCGTTATAATTGGCATCAGTTTGAGATATAGTCTTTAATATTTTTGTTTTTGAACGAGGGAAAAAAATTTTTACATGTTAAACCATTGAATAAAAATTATAAATTAATAAATATAAATAAATATTTACATCCAGGAACATTTTATGATTATCATCATTGTCGTCGATGTCATGATTATTTATCGGTGCTAAATTGTTATTGGTTGGAGATATAGGCTTAAATATTTTTTTTTGTTTGGATAACGAGGAGAAAAAATTTTTTAAGGTTAATAATCATTGGAAAAAAAATTTTCTTAAATTTAACAGATCAATAAGATACAAGATACATACGTAATATATATTTGCCGTCGGAATATCAGTATTTAAATCATTGATAGTGGGTGGTGTTGGCCTGGATATACTAAGTGTAATGAGATTTCGCGAGATCCTAGTTTTTTCATGGTCCTTTTGCCACCTCAAATATTTAGCACCTATTACTATTGATGTTATTTTTCAATTAGATCATTTATTTATTTTATGCTTAAAGTTTTATATTATAAAATAACTAACCTCTAAGATTATCTCGATTTGTGATATATTCGCACTTTTTGAAGTTCGTAACTCGTTGTTTCTAATCAATTTATACCATATATACATTATTCAAGTGCTGTGATACTTAATTCAATTGCAAGTAAAATTTTATAATAATTAACGTTACCTACCCTTCGAAAAATGATCGGTGATTTTATTGTTCTTCAAAAGCAAAAAAATATTATTTAAATAATTCAATTTTCTTTGGAATAAAAATCAATGTTAAAGCAACTTACGTTTGTTTAAGATAAGATTTAGACATTCTTTTCTTGAGATTAAAAAAAAAAAAGTTATATTAAATATGGTCACATACAATCGTGTCACATGTCAAGAAATGTGAAGGGGGACGTGCGACGATGATCTTCTGCGGCGAAAAAAATTGTCAATATAAAATATGCAATTCTGCCGATGAAAAATAAAAAACAATCCTCTGAATTCTTAATAGTCTAACTTTTACTACTAAAGATTTTTTTTATAGGGTTTCTTTAGTATATATTGTTCTGCAAATATTAATTACGTTGTAATTTACTTGTCACATAAATTGTTATCATTATTGATTTTAAAACAAAGTTGGTTAGGGAAAATACAAACTGTTTACCAAATTCCACATAAAGCGATAACAACTTCTCAAAAAATCAAACTTTTCTCCACTTGCAAAAAAAATTTTTTTTATTACAAAAACATATAATGTAATATAATGTAATACAATTAGTATAAATCTTTACTCTAAATTAAATTACAAATTTCTTTACACTAATAATATTAATACTGTTTTCAAACTATACATGTTGTCAAAATTAATTTGTCTTTGACTTAATTCCGAAATCTCAATTTTTAATTGCGTCTGACTCAATTATTTATATGTTTTTCATATGACTCAATTAATTGCGTCAAAAAGTCACCTG